GTTTCTCAATGCTTGGCCGAGGTAGGAATTCTATCATCAAAGGATTGGGGAAAACTGTTTGCGTAGATGCAAGGCTGGCCAGTTTGTTAGCCGTGTTGTTTTCTTCGCGGTTAATTTGTTTCACTCTTATCGCGGTGAACTTTTTGATTTCCGCGCGCACTAGTGCCTGATACTTAGCCATTCTTTCACCCCTGGCTTCATACTCCCCAGAGACCTGATTGACCACCAGTTTTGAGTCACTGAATACCATAAGAGCCGACGCTTTCATTCTTAATGCGTTTCTCAATCTGGAAAGGAGGGCCTCGTATTCCGCCTCATTATTGGACGCCAAGAAGTCGAGCGTAATTGTTTGCTCAATAACCAGCCTGTCCGAGGAAGTCAGCACGATACCCAGCCCGGCACCATGTCTGTTGGAGGCCCCATCGACGAAGAGCTTCCATATCTCGCCGATAAATAACTTCCAGCAATCTGATGGGTTTTGGGAGCTTCTCAACTCCAAGGTACTGGTTGGTTCATTCTGGTCTCTTTCCACGTCTTGGTCGGGCCTATTTTGCGATAAGTTATCTGGCTTCTCCATGTGGGCTTCCATTTGCTCTTCTTCCATTTGTGGTCCGCTACTTGTCCCAGTTGCCTGAACCGAGGGCTGCGCCAAATCCGCGCTAGCTAAATCAACCGGGCAAACCGGATGCATTCCATGGGCAAATTCTGCCACAAAGTAGGTAAAAGCTTAAGCCTTGATTACGGTACGCGGTTAGAACTTGATGTCGTATTGCCCCAATTCGACGGCCCATTTCAAAATTCTCCCGGTAAAGTCCGCCTTTTCAAAGAGCACCTTAAGTGGAAACTCGGTTAGCACAACTATTGTGTGGACATGGAAATAGTGTGCCAGTTTTCTGGAGGCCATCATCAAGGCTATGGCCAATTTTTCTAGCGGCAGATATTTTGATTCAGTAGAGAGCAAGGTCTTACTTACGTAGAAGATGGGAATGTGCTAGATGCCTTCTGCAGGGACTAGGATAGCGCTCACCGCATGTTAAGAGACCGCCAAGTAGAGATACAATTCTTCGCCTGGTTTCGGTGTGACTAGGATAGGTGCTGAGGAAAGGTATGCTTTCAGGTCTGCCAACGCACGGTCACATTCGTCATCCCAGAAGAACTTGGCCTTCAAAGTTTTGAAGAAGGGCCTCCAACGATCTGAAGACCGGCTTATAAATCTATTCAGCGCGGCTGCCATCCCCGCAAGATGCTGCACGTCCTTCATGGAGTTTGGGCGCACCAGCTCTTGTATCACCTTGATTTGGGAAGGGTTGGCTTCGATTCCACGATTCGTGACCAAAAAACCCAAAAACTTTCCGGTGCTAACTCCGAAAGCGCACTTGGAGGCATTCAAACGAAGCTTGTGGTGCTTCAGTATGGCGAACATCTCTACCAGGTCGGCAAGGTGCTGGGACTTTTCCTTGCTCTTTACCACCATATCATCGATATAAGCTTCCATAGTGTGGCCTAGAAGGGGAGCGAACATCTTGGATACCATCCTCTGAAAAGTTGCCCCGGCATTTTTTAGTCCGAATGGCATGACTTTGTAACAATACAGGCCTTTTGGAGTAGTGAATGAAGTAATCTCTCAGTCTGGTTCACACATGGCTATTTGGTGGTACCCATGATACGCATCCAGGAAGCTAAACCTCTGATGGCCAGTGGTTAAATCTACCAGCTAGTCGATTCTCAAGAGAGGAAAGCTATCATTTGGACACGTGCGGTTAACCGTCTTATAGTCAACGCACACCCGCCACTTACCATTTTTCTTCGGCACCACTACCGTGTTAGAGATCCACTGAGGATATTGCACTTCTTCTATTGCTCCCGCTTCCAACAAGTTCTTGACCTCCTCCGCCACTATCTCGGCATGGCGCAAGGCTGAGCATCGCGTCCTCTGGATGACCGGCCGCGCAGTTGGGTAGACATTCAACTAATGGCAAATGAAGCTGGGGCCGACGCCAGGCATATCGTACGGCGTCCATGCAAAAACTTCCATGTTGGAAACCAAGAAGTCAACATAATCGAGTCGCTCGGCGCTAGACAAAGATGATCCCAAAAGAAAGAACTTAGTTGGATCGTTTTCGTCGATGCGCACCTCAACCAGATCTTCGACTGATTTCTCCTCGGCCTTTCTTCTTACGTCTTCCAGGACTTCCTTTCCCTCTGAGCCCTCTATCATTTGGACGAACCCATTGGCGGCTCAGTTGCCATTCACCGTAACGAAGCATTGTTTTGCCATTACCTGGTCTCCTCAAACCTCTTCTATCTGTCCGGTTGGCGCCAGGAAGCACAGAACCTGATGGTAGGTTGACACTACTACTTGCATGGCGTGCAACCAGCCACTGCCCAAGATTAGGTTATAGGTGAATGGAACCTTAAGTACCCAAAATTCCACTTGCTTCGTGACTGATCCTGCTCTGACCGGCAGTATGATCTTTCCGATCGGCTATTCTGGTTGTGAGTTAAAGCCAACCAATGGAGACGTTGCAGGGGCCAAGTCCTTGTCCTCCAACTTCATTTGTTTAAACCCGTCATAATACATGATTTCGACCGAGCTCCCCTGGTCAATCAAAATCCTCTTGATGTCGAAGTCTTTAACGCAAAAAGTCACTACCAAGGCGTCGTTGTGGGGCATTTGAATTCTCTCAAAGTCCTTGCTTGAGAAGGTAAGGATATCTTTTTCTTCAGTCTTTCCTCTCTTCACAGCGGGCTAAACAGAGAGCACCTCCCTCATGTGCTCGGCTTTTTTAATCATCCCTCTCAGCTCGCAGACCCTTGCTGGTTCAATGATGCCATGGATGACATTGATCACGCCTTGTGGTGCTGCGTTCAGGGCGGCTAGGCCGTTTGGCTCAGTTTGTCCCAGTGGAGCGGCTTTCATACCCCCATCTATATACTGGTCCAGATGTCCCACCGCCACCAGCTCCTGTAGATGTTGTTTGAGCGACAAACAATCCTCCGTTCGGTGCCCCCGTTCCTCATAGAAGGTGCAGCAATATCTTGAGTTGAAGCCTCTCTGTGTACTCCCCAACTTGACCGGCCAACGGACGAAAGGTTCATCTCGGATTTCACTCAAGATGCGGTAAATAGGGATTTTAAAGACCGTGGTAATAACGATTCGCGCTTTCAATTTTCTCTTGGCATCTTCCTCTTCATCACGGGGGGTGTTTGCTCGGTCGTGTCTGCGACCTTTGTTTCTATCATCGCGGTTTAAACCACGACGTTGATCTTTTGACCGGTCGTTTGGGCGCTTTCAATTTTGATGATAGTTGTTAGTATAGGGATTGTTAAATTATTTTTATATAAAATAAATATAAATAATAAAGCAAATAAAAAAATAGAAAAACATTAAACATTAATGTTTTAAAAAAAAATGCCCAACATGTGAAAATTTAAAAATAAAATAAAAATAAAATAAAATAATTTCCATAAAAAAATAAAACAAATAAAATAATGATTTTTACTTAATAAAAAATTAAACACTAATGTTAAAAAAAAATGCCCGACATGCAAAAAATAAAATAAAAAATAAATAAAAATAAAAAATTTCTAGTCTGTCGGACTATTTTTCTAATACTAAGTCCTGGAGGCCCATTCGAATCCCCTTAGAGAGACCCATTTTAATCCGGAACTCATTATCAATCCCCTTCCTATCTCTCAAAAAAATACAATATTAATGAATCTTAACTCACTACCATTCTCAATTTTTCCTTTAATTCTCCAAACAAACAGGCCGTAGTGTATTAGTCCTACAATCGCAAAGACATGCCAAATCACCAGTGTGTTGTCAAGTGTTTGCGCTATTCACGCTGCGCGGGCCCAACTCTTTGGCACGCATCGATGGTACAAATATTTTGAAGAAATAAAAATAAATAAATAAATAAGGAACGTCAAGCAAAAAAACACATGAAAAGGCCTAAAACAATTTGGCTTAACCTGCTTACTAAATAAATGAGTTTGAGCTCGATTTTTGTATTCCTTTTCAAAGATGCTCAAGTTCAAACATAACTTATTTATATAATTGAGTTAGCTTGAGCTAAACTTGAATTTATAAAAAAAATTAACCAAGTTCAAGCTGAATTATTTAAACTTGACTTGAATTGAACTATTAAAAAACAAGTTTGTACACTAAAAAATTCGATTTAATTATGTTCATTTGTAATCCTAATTAAAACTGAACTCTTTGGCGCACATCAATGGTACAACTATTTTGATGACATTAAAAAAAATTAAGAATAATAATAATAAGTTTTTCAAAAAATAAACAAACCAACACATGTAAAAGCCTGAAATAATTTAGCCATTCCAATAACTAATGTCCACATTAGTTTTGCATTTTTTAATGGCACGTCTTATTTGCAAAACTTACAATTATTATGTCCCAATAGGCTTACTGACTTTCTAATTATTATTGGACTTAGTGGTCAATATAATATAATAATTCTTATATTTGTAATTACTTTCGTATCAATTGATAACAATAAAGAAAAATTAAAATTATTATTATTATTTTGATATACAAATACTTCACACACACTAAACAACATATTTGTAATGTCCTGTAAACTTTCTCTTAATTATGTAATTGGCTTGCACTAATTGCCTAATTATCTTACTATTTATGATTAAATGACAAGAGTACTTGACTCGACTAATTTAGTATGCTATTTATTGCAATTACTTTAGATTGAATTGAAGCCATTTACATGTATTATCAATATAATACTGGCCTTAATAGACCCACTTTGCAATTGATTACCTCTGCATTAATTGGGCTTTGGATATTAAGCCCATGATTTCAGAATATTTATTTGAGGCTTGTATTATCTTAGTATCATGTACGGGACAATATAATTTTACATATATATAATATAATTTTTATAATAATTAATTGAAAACTAATTGTTACTTATGTTTAAAATAAATTGGAAGAACAGATCATTAGATGTTTTGCCAAGGGTGGAAAGGGTTTCACCCTGATGTGTTAATCTAATAATTAATATTTGTTGATAAATAAATAAATAAATCAATCAATAGATTGTTAATCAAATAGAATTAACAACACTAAGTCCCACTAAATAAATAATAATAATAATAAACTAATTTTTAGATTTATACAACTTACCATGAAAAGCTCAACCAATAAAATCTTTTTCAACCTCATCTACAAAAGCCCTGAGGTTCATATCCACGGACCCACCTTCCTTTACAGCTTCTTTTGCCAAATCCCTCCATTTCTTGGCATTTTTGTTCATTTCTTTCCCCTTCTCTCCACCACCCATAACCACTTCTATGCACCTCTGGATCTCTTCACCTTCCATTATTCCTTCTTCATTCATTGTTACCCTCACTCCTGTCTTGAATACATCTTCTATAAGTTTTGCATTCGTTGGTTGATCAAATGACTGTGGGAAACATACCATCGGAACACCAAATACCAAGCATTCCAATGAAGAATTCCACCCACAATGTGAAACGAAGCACCCTAAAGATGGGTGTGCAAGGACCTCCACTTGACAACACCACGGCACAATCATCCCTAGTTGATCGAGTTCTTCTCTACAGCTTAGTTCATCTTCTTCTTTCTCACCATTTTCTGTAGCCCTTAAGACCCACAAGAAAGGTCGATGGCTTTCCAACAACCCGCGTGCTATCTCCTCCACTTGTCGCTTTGATAATATTGCCATGCTTCCAAATGATACATAAACAACCGATGATTCTAGCTTTGAATCCAACCACTCAAGATAATCCCTTGATTTTTGGAATAGGTCGGCCCCAAAAGAAGTATTAGAAGGATGTTTCCTATCCAAGAATGCAGATGGGACTAATGGACCTATTGCAATCAAGTTGAGCTTCTCAATGGCTCTTAAGACCTCCGGTTCTAATGCATCGAATGTGTTTACCAGTATTCTAGGGTTGGCTTCTTCGTTAAGCGTATCTAGCAGTTCTTTGATTGATAGCAGTAAACCTTTGTACGGTTTTGAGTCCGAGTCAGGGTTTGAATGGACAAGAAAATAGGGAAGGTCACGGCTGGAGAGCTGTGGGAGTACCAGTAATTCAACCAAGCAGGAAGGATCATTGGTAATACTTCTAATGATGTCACCATAACCATTGAAGTAATAGAAGTAGATATGGAAAAGGGTTGCTGGTTGAGGCCAAAGAAGTGTGGATGGGATGTGAAAGGATTGAGCCACTTTGGCTACCCATGCTTGAAGCGGGGTGTAGATCAAACCTGTGACAGGGTTGCCTTCCTCGGCGCTGGCAGTGATGAGTTGGGCTAGTTTTTTAGAACCGCGATCATTGAGCTCAGAGATAAAGTGTGTTGAATTCACCCATGTGTGGTGATCATCCAAGTCAAGTTTGGTTGGCAACAATGGGAAGGCAACCAACCAAAGTCCACCTTGGCGGCCACCAACCATCTTGAAGAGTCAAGAATGGAGGCTGCCCAAAGGCTCTCCCACCTACTCCCTCACCTATAAATGGAGGTTGAGAGGAGAGAGCAAAATGTGAGCAAACCGTGAGACAACAAAGAGAGTGAGAGATGTGAGGCGGAGAGACCGTCTCTCTCGGTGTGAGCGAGGGAGACGGGTGAGTGTCTGAGTGAGGAGAGTGTGAGCTCCTCCTCTATTGTAATCTTTCTGTAATCTCCTCATTGGTATAGTGATAACCGGTTACTCTCCCGTGGACGTAGGCATTGGGCCGAACCACGTAAAATATTGTGTCTCCTTGTGTGTGGGTGTGTTTTTCTGCTTGCAATGATTTCTATAAGGTCTTGGGCGGGATCCCAGATCCCAACAAAGTGTTCATAGTCAATATGGCCGAATTTGAAGCCATCATCGTAGCCATCGGAGAAGAAAACAAAGGTTAGGCCTTCTGGGGTCATGCTGGTTTTGGCCATGCAACGATGGGCAGAGATACAGGTGACTATGGTGACCTTGACACCCATTCTTATGAGCTGATTGGCTAATTGGAGTGCAGGATTGATAGCCCCTTGGGATGGAGAAGGAACGAGGAGGATGTGTTTGTGCACCATGTTGGCTCTACTCAATGTAAAGAATGATAAAAGTATCTATTTTGGTGTTGCTACAAATGATGAAATATATGTACGAAAAGCCTTAAGTACCACAAATTGAGATAGAAAAATGACTCAGAATGTGCAACTATGGGTGGGATTTAAATAGTGAAGTACGGGTTTATGTATTGATTCTATTCCAAATGTGGATCTAATCACGTCCATGTAGCTTCCATACCCACGAGACTATGGCTGACATTTAGGCCACGTTTTGAGATAGGCTATTTTACTTTAAAAGTTGAAAAATCATTATAAATTATCAAATTATTATTATTATTTTTTTTACATATTTTTTTTTATAAAATGTTAAAAATCAATTAAAATAATCAATTCTCAAACCATCCCTTTGGGGTCATTCGGGATGTGGGTTTGAAATTAATTTAGCAATAAAGAGAAAATAGACTATTTTAACTAATAAGATAAAATATTATATTTAAAGCATAATTATTTCATTTTTTTCTTTTACAATCACCAAATCAACTAAAAAAAAGACAATCATCATACTAAATATAACTTTTTTAACTAAAATAAAATAGCCAAAAATTAAACCAAAAAAAGTTCATCCCAAAGGCCACTATAATATATAAGAGTTTTAGAGACCAAATGTTTTGGTCTTTAAAAATAAAAATTTTATTACAAAAGATATTTAAGGATCAATTTTTATCGTCATAAGGATAGTCACTAAAAAATTGTTCCGAAAAATTCATTCTTAAATTTCAGTTTTTAAAACTTTAATTTTTTTTTTTTTAGTAGGCTTAGTCTCATCGTCTAATTTAACTTATAATCAACTATCACATTTAACATATGAGAAATTTCAATTCACTGAGTCTTTGAAAAATATCTTTTTTTTTGGAAGTGCGTGCCTAGCCTTCCACTGGAGTTTGGTTAACACCAAGCAAACGTTTGCCATGACGCATTTAAGGAATTATTCTTTATTGATAGCCTTTTGTTTTTTAGTTGTGTAAATTACACTGGTACCCTTCGAGATTTGACTTAATTACAGTCTATTCCTTAATATTTTAGAAATTACATTCTCACTTTTATAATTAATAGTTTCATTTCTTAAACTTCCTACTTATATAGAAGGTAATAACTTCTACAACAATGATAGAGACCACTAATTTTGGAACTCTAAAAAGACCACTAATGACATGACACTCAATAAAAAAAGAAAAAAAATACAATACCAAAACTAAAACATCAAATCATTCTTGGTGGGGCCCACTGCCACATCATTAGTGATAGCACTAATTAGTGCTCTCACTCATTTTTCTAACTTCCAAAAGAAAAATACAAAAAATTATATTGAAAAAAAAAAGTAAAGCAAAGAAAAGAGAAAAAAAAAAACAAAGAAAGTAAAGCAAAGTAAAAAAAGATAGAGTGCATAAGTTCAATATTTTCATTCTGTTTAAATAATTATAATAACAAGAGATTAATGTAATTTTTTAAACGTTATGAAATGATATGTATTAAATTTAAATTTCAAATGGTTTAAGTGTAATTTATCTTTTTTAATTTGTTTTATATTTGGGTTATTGTCTTCTATAATCACTCTTCCAGGTCTGCTGATATTGACATAGATATATATTGGTATTAATGTTACAATCACAAAGACATGCCAAATCATCACTCTGCTGTCAAGTGTTTGAGTTATGCGGCTGGAGTTGATCTCTTCGGCACATCGATGCTACAAATATTTTGACAAATAATAATAATAAGCTTTTAAGAAAAATGAGCAAACAAACACATGGAAAAGTGTGGAATAATTCAGCCGTTCCAATCCAACTACTACTGTCCACGTTTTTATTTCAATTTTTAATAACATGTCCCATTAGTAAGACTTAGTTATTATCTTATAACCCAATAACCCATGATGTCTCACGAGTATTTAAAAAATTATTGGAGGATTTCTCACAATTTGATTTTGGATTAGAGGGCGTTGTTTGAACTCATGAAATTACTACAGGTCTTATTTCTGTAAAGCACTTTATATATTTCATTCACATAAAAAATTAAGTTGATCGGATACTCATAACCTATTTAATTTTATCCCGTTTGTCACAAAAAAATAAACAATTGTATTTGACGCATTTAAGGAATTATTCTTTATTGATAGCCTTTTGTTTTTTAGTTGTGTAAATTACACTGGTACCCTTCGAGATTTGACTTAATTACAGTCTATTCCTTAATATTTTAGAAATTACATTCTCACTTTTATAATTAATAGTTTCATTTCTTAAACTTCCTACTTATATAGAAGGTAATAACTTCTACAACAATGATAGAGACCACTAATTTTGGAACTCTAAAAAGACCACTAATGACATGACACTCAATAAAAAAAAAAAATACAATACCAAAATTAAAACATCAAATCATTCTTGGTGGGGCACACTGCCACATCATTAGTGATAGCACTAATTAGTGCTCTCACTCATTTTCCTAACTTCCAAAAGAAAAATACAAAAAATTATATTGAAAAAAAAAAAGTAAAGCAAAGAAAAGAGAGAAAAAAAAACAAAGAAAGTAAAGCAAAGTAAAAAAAGATAGAGTGCATAAGTTCAATATTTCCATTCTGTTTAAATAATTATAATAACAAAAGATTAATGTAATTTTTTAAACGTTATGAAATGATATGTATTAAAATTTAAATTTCAAATGGTTTAAGTGTAATTTATCTTTTTTAATTTGTTTTATATTTGGGTTATTGTCTTCTATAATCACTCTTCCAGGTCTGCTGATATTGACATAGATATATATTGGTATTAATGTTACAATCACAAAGACATGCCAAATCATCACTCTGCTGTCAAGTGTTTGAGTTATGCGGCTGGAGTTGATCTCTTCGGCACATCGATGCTACAAATATTTTGACAAATAATAATAATAAGCTTTTAAGAAAAATGAGCAAACAAACACATGGAAAAGTGTGGAATAATTCAGCCGTTCCAATCCAACTACTACTGTCCACGTTTTTATTGCAATTTTTAATATGTCCCATTAGTAAGACTTAGTTATTATCTTATAACCCAATAACCCATGATGTCTCACAAGTGTTTAAAAAATTATTGGAGGATTTCTCACAATTTGATTTTGGATTAGAGTGAACTCATGGAATTACTACAGGTCTTATTTCTGTAAAGCACTTTATATATTTTATTCACATAAAAAATTAAGTTGATCGGATACACGTAACCTATTTAATTTTATCCCGTTTGTCACAAAAAAATAAATAATTGTATTTTTAAAAATAAAGAATCTATTTTTTTTTATGACAAACGCAATAAATTGAATAGATTAAAATTATTACATCGGCCTTTTTTTTTTTTGTTGATAAAATACATAAAGCGCCTGACAAAATAAACGATTTAAGTTATTAAAATGAGATCCATGGTGGATTATACAGGCCCAAATAACTCCCTCTCATTTGGACCGGAGGAAATCTACCTCCAAACTATAATACACATCAATAAATTAAGTCTCATTAGTGGTGATTGTTGGGTTTGAACTTGTGTCTTATAAACCTTTTCTCGTAATTAAGTAATTGACTTGCACTAATTGCCTAATTATCTTACTATTTATGATTAAATGATACTAGTACTTGACTCAATTAATTAGTACTAGTACTTGACTCAATTAATTAGTATGCTATTTAATTGCAATTATTTTAGATTGAATGGAGACCATTTAATTGGCCTTAGAAGACCCACTTTGCAATTGATTACCTCTGCATTAATTGGGCTTTGGATATTAAGCCCATGATTTCAGAATATTTACTTGGCCTATGTATTGTCTTAGTATTATGTACTGGACAATTTTTATAGGTAGATTTTTGACCCAATACCCATGACCCACCCAATTAGAGTTTGTGTAGAGACTTGGAATTTTTTCATATATCTCTTGTTTAAAATGAATTGAAAGAACAATGAATGGAAATATATATTGCAAACTACACCAAATTTTAATTTTTTTCAAATAAAATAAAATAATTATCTTCAGTAAACAAGAACCAAGAGAGAAAAAAATAAATTCACTAACCAGTTCTACGGAGACAAATAAATCTCTTACCATGGATTTCTTACTGATAATGTTCTTTAACCTTGTCAACAAAAGTTCTAAGGTTCTTGTCTAAGAATCTACCTTCCTTTGCAGCTTATTTTGCCAAATCCTTTAATTTCTTAGCATTCGTACTCATTTCTTCCCCTTCCTCTCCACCTTCCATAACCATTTCTATGCACCTATTGATCTCATTACATTCAACTATTCGTTCTTCATTCACTCTAACCCTTACCCTGGTCTTGAACACATCTTCTATAAGTTTTGCATTTGTTGGTTGATCTGAAAATTGCAGAAAACCCACCATTGGAACACCACAAACCTGTTAAGATTCAAATGTTTTATTTTATATTTATTAATATTTATTGGAAGCTCTAGTCATGGGTAGGTTTGACCGAGTCATTGGGTATTTGGTTATTTGATTTCGTAGCTGAGAAAGTGGTATGTGTGATCCTATTTTATAGGAGTTGTGGTTAGTGCTAAGATGTAGTGTTCTGATGTAAAGCCTATTTATAGGTCCTTTCCTTTATCAATAAAATACAGAGCTTTACCATTTCAACACATCTCTTTTTGCTTTTGTTTTAACTTGCTATCAGTTTGTTTTAACTCTGTATTAGTGGTATCAAAGCAAAAATGTGTGAAAGAAAGCAAGAGAGAAAGAGAAAGAGTTCCCAAACAGCATCGATGGCTTCCGATTCAAATTTTGTGCAGGCAGCGATCCCACATTTTGATGGTCACTATGACCATTGGAGTATGCTCATGGAGAATTTTCTACGGTCAAAAGAGTATTGGCCGATCATTGAATTTGGAGTTGTAGAACCAACAACAAATACAGTCTTGACAGATACCTAGAAAACAGAGTTGGAAAGGAGAACGCTCAAAGATTTGAAGGCAAAAAATTACCTTTTTCAGGCAATTAATCGTCCCATCTTGAAAACAATTCTTAGCAAAGAAACTTCTAAAGATATTTGGGATTCCATGAAGCAAAAATATCAAGGCTCTGCTAGAGTGAAGCGTGCACAGCTTCAAGCTTTGAGAAGAGATTTTGAGACTCTACAAATGAAGAATGGGGAATCTGTCACCAGCTACTGTGCCAGGACTGTGGAGATTAGCAACA